AGCATCAGTCCTCATGTCTTCTTGAAGAACATGATTGCCCATCAGGAGAAACAAGCCTTCATTTGTCCTGCTCTTTCCTGAGTGACCATTCCCAGATTGCCTCCCTGGGCATTAGTCACGTGGTTGGAATAGAAGAGAAAAGGGAATTAAGCTCCACAGGGCTAGTGCATATGGAGTGTGGCTTCCTCATTGCCATATTTTGTCCCTACCCAGTGGCCCCTTCCTCTTCCTCATGCTCAATGGGCACGATCCTGCCTCTGCGCCTCTGGGCCAGCTGCTGCCTCTGCTTGGCTGGTTTCCCCCCAGAGGGCCAATGGACACACTTCTCATCTCCTGCATGGTTGTACCCAGAGGCTACTGAGCCCCACTGTGACCACTTGTGTGAATCAGTTTTCTGTGACAATAACCAAATACCCAAGATAACCAACTTATAAAAACAAAAGGTTTATTTTGGCTCAGAGTTAGGGAGGTTTCAGCCTAGAGTTGAGGGGGACCCATTGCTTTTGTGCCTGAGGTGAAGGAATGCAGAGCAGACCCAAACCATTCATCTCAGGCACAGGATGAGATAGAGGAAGAGGTAAAGTCCCACAATCCCCTTCAATGACCTCGCACTAGGCCCCATCTCTTAAAGCAATGATGACGAACCTTTTAGAGCTTTCAATGACACAAACAGCCAACTGTGGCATGTGTGCCACAGGTTTACTACCACTGTCCTACAGGTTCTACCCCCTCCCAGGAGCACTACTCTGGGAAACAACGCTTTAATACATGGGCCTTGTTATTTTTTGTGTCTAGATGTCCCCTCAAAGCCTTGTGGAGTCATAAGTGGGACTTTTCAGAGGTGGCTGGATCTAGAGTGTGTGACACTGGGATTGATTCATGTTGCAGTGCTAGGATTAAGGGAGCTGGGATTAAGGGTGTGTGGTTACTAAATTAGTCCCTGATTGGTTTGGCACCCGCCCTAAACTGGGTAACCAAGCTAGTAGTTTGCTACATTTTGCCTCCCATGGACTGTTTCTCCTCTGCGATGCCCCTCTGCCATGCTGCCCTACCTTGAAGCCAGCCAACTATGGACTGAACCTCTATAAACTGAGCCAAAATAAACCTTTCCTCCTTTAACTGGGCATCAGGTATTTTGTCTCAGCAATGAGAAAAGTAACCAAGGCAGGCCTTTAGGAGACATCCCAGATGCAAACTATAGCACCATCCCATTTAAAATTGCAGTCTAGCCCCACCCCATGCATATACACACATACACTCCCCACCTTCCTCCATCCCCCTGGGGCTGTTTATTTGTGTTTTTTGGCTCAGTGCTTCTCAAACCTGAGTTGTATCAGCATCACCTGAAGGACTGGCACTTGACACCATTTGCCTGACACAAGCAGTGTCTAACAGGTTCCACAGGTGCCACCTGTCCTGGATCTCTCTCAGAGAACCACTGCTCACCCCATTCCCTGCTAGAATGTAAGTCCCACGAGGACTTAAGGGAGCCCTTTGTTTTGCTCACTGACCCATCCCAAGGACCCAGAAGAGCATCAGCCCCAGAGCAGATGCTCAAAAAATGCAGGATAATGTTGGCAAGTTTAATCCTGGGAGTCAGACAACCTTAGTTCAAGTACAAAATCTACCGTTCCTACCTGTGGTCTTGAGAAGGTTATGTATATTTACCCTATGGAGCCTGTTTCCTCACTTGTACACAGGATATAATCACGACAGCTACTGAATTTGTGGGACACATTGCTAAATGGGGATGCAGGACCCCTGTTCAAAAATGTGAGTCAATTCATAAGACACCCATTTGTACTTCGTCTTTAAGGTGAGCCATTCCTGTCGCCAGAAAAGGCATTCACATGCATACGCCTATGTCTATGTGCACACATCTGCACTGATCACACATGCGCAAGGCTCTGCTTGTGATCACGTGACTTCCACCTCACATGAGTCAGTGGAGTCAGTGCCCAGTGGAATCCAGTTCAAGTTCTGGAATGGCACTGCTGAGCTGTGCCACTTTCTGCTCTGCTGTTTTTCTCTTTTGGAGGAGTTGGATGAGAGAGAATGAATATTAGCAAGGTGCCTAGTGCAGAGTAATAATTAAAATAGCAAATTTACAAGGTCGTGGGACCAGTCACGTGAAGGAGCCAAGCCATCTGGCATACAGAAAGTGCCCAAACATGTCTGCTGAAAGGGGTTGAAGAACCTGAGTTAGAGATCCATGTGGCTTTCACAGGGTCCCACGCTGTGGGAATGATAATTGGTGTGACCCTATCAGAACGCTGTTCTGCAGTAGCACACCCTGTCCAAGGGAGATGCGCCCCAATGTCCACAGCAAAGCACACACAAGAACATCATAGCAACTTACCTACCAGAGCCCCAGACCGGAAACAACCCAGATGCCCATCAGCAAGAGAATGGCAAACAAGTCACACATATTCATAGAATGGAGAGCTAAACAACAATAAAAAGAGTAGATCACAGCTACGTGCGGAAACACGCATAGCTTCACAGATGCTGTTTAGTGAAGGTAACAGTCACAAACAGCATACATTGTATCATTCTATTTACATGGAACTCAAAACCAGGCCAAAGCAACCAGGGACAGGAGTCACAGTGGTGGTGACCTGACTTTGAAGGAGAGGTGGGAACCTTGTGGGTGCTTGTATTAGCTGGAGTTCTCCAGAGGAACAGAATTGGTAGAGAATATATGTATAATTATGGGAGGGGATTTATTGACTTACTTTTTACTATTTATTTATTTATTTATTTTTGTACTGAGGCTTGAACTCAGAACCAGGCACAGTGCCTCTGAGCTACATCCCCAGCCCTGGAAGGAGATTTATTAAGTGAGCCTACGGGATCAGAGGTAGAAAAGTCCACAGGGGCTGTCCCTGGGATTGGAGGTGGAAGAATCCACAATGGCTGCCTACACACTGAAGAGCCAGAGGATCCAACAGGGCTTGGCCCAAGAAGATGGAAGCCACAGAACAAGAGATGTCAAGGGGGCAGCGCCAGCCCAAGGTCAAAGGCCTTAGAAGCTCATTGCAGAGTAGCTGGTGTGAGTCTGTTGAAAGGCTGAAAAACTGGAGACCAATGTCCAAAGGTGATGGCAAAGACTGCAGCTCTTCCAAAATGGGCACACTTCCTCCTTTCCACTTTCCTTCTGTATTCCTTCCAGGATGCAAGCCTATATTGGTTGGGGCCACCCGCATATGGGGTGGGTCTTCCTCCCTCGGTTTGCTGGCCTATGTGTCAGTCATCCACAGACACACCCGGAACTGTGCTTTACTCATCTGTTCCTGGTTCTTACTAAAGCCAACATATCACAGTTAGCAGTCACAGTGCTATAAATATCCTGGCTTGTATGGAGCCAAGAGAGGTAGCTCTTGCCTATAATCCTAGGAATCTGGGAGGCTGAGACAGGAAGATTACAAATTTAAGCCCACCCTGGGCAACTGGGTGACTTTGTGAGACCCTATCTTAAAATAAAAATAATAAAAAGAGCTGGAAATGTAGCTCAGTGAGAAGGTCCTAGGTTGAATATTCAGTATGCCCCCCACAAAAAAAATCCCAACTCAGGCCAGGGATTTAGCTCAGTGGTTCTGCCGCCTGCCTCGAAAGCGCAAGGACCCAAGTTCGATTCCCGGTACAAAAACAAAAACAAAAAATCCCGACTTGTGCAGTATTTCAGAGGTAATTTAAAAACCGTCCAGTTGAACACCTATAATTATTGCACTTTTTATTTTCTGTGCTGGAGACTGAACCTTGTAATGCTAGGGAAAAGTTCTACCACTGCGCCCCCCCCCCGCCCTAATACTAGTGCACCTTATGTATAATTTACTGCATATATGATGTGCCTCAATAAAAGTGAGAAGATAATAAGTATATTTCTTTACCAGATCCTACTGTCTGTTTGAACTATGAATAGATCGACCCAGTAAGGATTCCGGGAAAAGCACACTTCTATTACATTATGTTGCTTTTTGTGCTAATGATCTTAATTTCAAATATGAATATATTTGAAACACACAATTTTTGCAACCTCGTTTGACATTTCTTTGCTGCTTCAGAAAGCAAAGTTTACGGAAAGAGCAATGGTGTGGCCCTCCCTGACCCTCCAGGTGGCCCATGGGCCGGGGATTTAGCTCAGTGGTTCTGCCGCCTGCCTTGCAAGCACAAGGTCCCAAGTTTGATCCCGGTACCAAAAAAAAAAGAAAGAAAGAAAGAAATTCAGAAACCCTCTAGGAGGCTCATTGCTCATTATGGACAGATGGAATCACAGGGTGAGTGGGGGCGACAGAACTCCAGAAGGCCAGTGGGTGTGGCCGGGTGCCAGCCCTCTGTGCACTGATGAGGCTGCAGCTGCCCAAATCCCAGGCTTCCCAGAGCCCAGGCTGTCCTGGTTCTTGTTATAGCAGTCAGGGTGTCACACGGCTCACTGCCTGGGTCAAGGTGACTGTGTCCCTCTGTGTGTGCTTCCTTGGAGAAATGGCCTGGGAGCGACCCCAGTGTGTAGTCAGGACCAGCTTGCTGGGCATGTGTCCTACGTGGTCACACAGGCCCCACGCTCCAAAGGGCTTCGCTGATCCTCTATTAACATCTTAAAATTCTTGGGGGAGTACTGAGCATCAAGCCTTGAGCCTTGTGCATGCCAGGCAAGCACTCTACCACAGAATTATATCTCCAGCCCCCCTTTTTTTTCAATTATTTTATATTGAGACAGGGTGTTGCTAAATTGCCTGGGCTGGCCTGGAACTTGTGATCCGCCTGCCTCAGCCTCCTGAATAGCTGAGGTTACAAAGGCATGCCACCATGTCCAGCTATGAAATTCTTAATGATTATTACAAGGGGGCATGTTTTTCCATTTCCCCACAAATGCGAGGGGTAGTCCTAGAGAGGGCAGGGTGTGATGCTGACAGCCACAGGTCGAGAGCCAGGCAGGTTGGTCACAGCTGCCTGCCCTTGGCTAGCTGGGGTGTCGAGCCAGCTGTGCCTCAGTTCCCTACCTGTCACGTGGAGTAAGCAGTACCCACTCAGGAGGTGTTCAGAGAATCACATCAGCCTTCAGTTCCGGACCTGGCACAGCAAGTGCTGTCACACCGGGGCAAGTGTGGAGTGTGTCACAGCAGCCTGGCTCCAGCCACAGAGGGAACAAGGAGGAGGCTGAGACGCCACTGAAGCCAGTGGCCTCGGGCACACATTATCCCGTCCATCTTTGATTTCGGGGCTCACTGAAGCATGGCGACAGCTGGTTATCTTGGGTCCTCTAAGTCTGTAAATAGATTTTTATGGTAAAAAAATGACAGACTTGGAAAAACTGAAAAAAACTGCAAATGTTTTTTCTCTACATCCCTCCTCACAAGACAGACAGGTCCGAGGAGCCCAAAGACCACACTGGCCATTTATTCACCGACCTCCTGGAACCCCGAGCCTGGCCTTATGGGTGGGGCGCACGCAATAAGGATCACTTCCGGTATCATACTTCCGGTGTCACTTCTGGTGTCACTTCTGCTCCGTACTTCTGCCGCCTCATCTGTAAATGAGGACGAGAATGGTACCACCTGCCTGGGTCTGTATGAGGAGGAAGCCAGACGAGGTGTGTGAAGTCTATGGGGCGGTGCCTGGCACCCAGGCCGAGCTCAGGAAACGCCCAAGACTGGGAAAAGGAGTCGCGGCTGTGGTTGTCACTGCTTAGTCTGTGCCTAGACGTTTGGTCTGGTGGATGCAGACCCCTTCTCGGGAAGCTGCCTGAAGACAAGAGGCGCATGCAGAGTGCCAGCCATTGGTCGAGACCCTGATCTGACTGAGATCCTCCTTCCCCAGCTGGACAATGGTTGCCATAGACCTGAGTCGTTCAAATGTATGAGTCAAAAAGGACCTTAAAGGTCAGTGAGTCCACATTTCTCATTTACAGATGAGAAACGGAGGCCCAGAGGAGGCAAGTGACCTGCCCAAGACCACACAGCCAAGCAGGGGCTGAGCTGGAAAGGCAGCTCGAGGTTTGCACAGCCCTGCCCTGCTCGTTCCTGCCTACACCTCATTCTCTCAGCTCCTCGGGTTCCTTCCACCTTTCCATCTCCAGAATAGGCTTTTACCAGGTTACAGGCTCATCAAATTCGTGGCCACATCGTGCTGGGGACCCATCTTTCTTACTGAATCAGACCGCCACTAGGTCCTGAAAGCCCCATAAGTCTTTTATGGATGAGCAGATCTCTTAATCTATTATTCCAGAGTCCTATTTATATATATTTATCCATATGGCTATATAAATAGGGCTTTGAGACATATACGTGGCAGGTTATTGCCATAGCATAGTTGTTCTCCCCGAGAGGAAAACAAAAATGATGTATGGTGGAGGCTGGGCTCCACACAGAAAGCTCCCGTCTGATTTATTAAGAGTTAGCTTGCAGCCACATGCTCTGAGGTAGAGAATCTATTGCAGAGCTATCTAAGAACTCTCAGATCCAGAGGCTGAAAGGGCTTCGAGTCTAGGCTGTGGTGGGGGAACAAAGAATCTGGATGTGTAGCCAAAGGACATTGGGCTCTGCTTAGGGGTGAGGGGTCCATTCTGACCGGCACACGGTGAGTAGCTGGCATCTTCCTGGGAAGCTGAGGCTGTGCACACCCAGTGGCCCAGCCTCGTGAACAAGGAGTCGTGTTCAAGATTGCTCAACAGAGCTCTGGAAAGTGGGAACAGCTAAACAACCATCAAGAGAGGGACAGGGATGGGGCCAGGGATTTAGCTCAGTGGTTTTGCCGCCTGCTGTGCAAGCGCAAGGACCCAAGTTCGATCCCCTCCATACCAAAAAAAAAAGGGGGGGGGGACAGGGAGACTGAAGTATTTCGTGACGTTCTATCCAGAGTGATGTCCGTCCATGGGAAACCATCCCCCAGCTGGAAATATGCCAACCTGGGCTTGTCCTTGACCTTATCCCCAGTGCCTCGCACATGCTATGCATGTGACCTGTCACTGAGCGACACCTCTAGGCCATTGTCCGTGCCTTTTAGGAAATCTTCGTCTCTTTCTTTGTCTACACCCCAGTTTCTTCATCTGTAAATGGGCCTCAGGATTAGATCGGTGGTTTCTGGACTGTGTTTGGCAAAGCCTTAGAGATTCTCTGTCAGTTTTCCATGTTTGATTCAAATGTCTCCTTTCAGAAACATTTTAAGGTACTTCAAAACTGTAGAGAATGACACACGCATGCCCCAGTGTGCTTTGCACACAGTGTTGGCTTAGAGCAGATTAACACTGCACTGATATGTCACCTCGCCCTCACCCACCCCTTCAGAAAACCCAAACTGAGCCTCTCCCGCCTTCTTTGTTTAATTGGATCAAATCCTGAGACCACAAGGCGAGCAGCTGTTAAAATCTGTTGCCATTTTCAACTGCTTAGTTGAGAGTCAAGATTTTTCTCAATATTGTGTAACCAAAGCAAAACATTGCAATAATTTGAATGTGGTGAAAGAGGATCACTGTCATCCACAACCATAACTTTGGCTTTGTATTTTTCATTTGTTGAAGTTTTCACTAATTTTTTTTTGTTGTTTTTTGTTGTTGTTGTTTTGGTTTTTTTGGTACTGGGGATCAAACTCGGGACCTTGCGTTTGTGAGGCATGCACTGGAACCACTGAGCTAAATCCCTGGCCCAAATTTTTTGCTAATAAAAGGTTTGTTGTTTGGGTTTTTTTTTTCATCTTCCTAGTACTGGGGATTGAAAGGAGAATACTGAGATACCTTTCTCTCTCTCTCTCTCTCTTGAGAGAAGGTCTTACTATGTTGCCCGGGCTGGCCTTGAATTTGTAATCCTCCTCCCTCAGCCTCCTGAGTAACTGGGATTACAAGCTTAAAAGTTTTTAAATAAACTTTTTCTTTGAGAATAACTTTATATTCACAGAAAACTTATAAAGGCAGTATTAAGAGTTTCTAAATAACACTCCAGTAGCTTCAGTTTCTCTTAATATCACCAGCAGATATAACCATGGTACATTTGTAAATCTGAGACCTAACTGGCTTGTGACTACTAAATAAACTCTAGATTTTACTCATATTTTCCCAGTTTTTCCACTACCATCCTTTCTTCGTTTCATGATTCAGTCCAGAATACCACATTGCATTTAGTCAAATTTGTATTTTTTTTGGTACTGGGAATCAAATAATTTATATTTTCATCTCTCTTAATGTCTTCATTTCATGTGTAAATTTATTATTGTTAGTGCTGAGTAAAGGCTTGAAGGAAAGGAAAGAGCATTTGTCAGGGAAGATCATCCTGGCAGAGGGAAGAGCAAGTGCAAAGGCCCAGTGTATTCTGTCCCATGGCTTTGCCATGCTAGGCACATGCTCTACCACTGAGCTAGAGCCCAGCCCACACATGTAAGTATATCCAAATATTAATTTTGCCTGTTTTACATGAAGGAGTTCCAGGAAGATTTCTTTGAGGAAAAAAGAGAGGATCCACTGTGTTTGTTTTGTTTTGTTTTGTAGTTTGTTTGCCACCCTGGGGATGGAACTCAGGGCCTTCCCCACAATCTCTACTAACACGCGGGCACACACACACACACACACACACACACACGTTCGTGCACGTTGCAGTTAAGTGTGGGAACTGTCCTTAGGGCCAAGTCACTCAGACAGCCCAAGGGACTCGAGTGTCAGCACAGGGTCAGGTCCCACTGGGACTTAATAAGGGGAGCTAAAGACAACCCACGCTCTGTATAGAAATCATGAGTCCTTTTCAGGCTGAAAAGGTCTTTGGTTCTTCATCCTGGAAGGACCCCGAGGTCTTTTCCTATTAAAAGAACGTGAGCCAGGTGTTCGTGTCTTCATTCACTCTCTCAAACGACATGGACTCACCCACTGTGGGGCAGGCATGTAAGGACAGGGAACAGTGATTGTCGAAGCAGGCACATTTCTGCCCCCATGGAGCTCACATTCTAGTGGAAGAGGTGGTGAAGAAGTAAATTAAAGGTGTGATCAAAACATGTGGTGAATGTCCAAATTAAAAACAAAAGTTATTACAGTAAAAGACACATTGCCATTATTCCCCCTCAGCTTGAGCACACTTAATCCATCATTCCTTTCACTTTCTGCAGTAGATCTGGAAGTCATCTTTCATGAGGGTCTTTAGTTGCACTGCTGTGGCTACCTTGATGTCCTGAATCCATTCAAAACGTTTACCTTTCATGGTCATTTTGACTTTGGGGAAGAGCCAGGAGTCACAAAGTGCCAGATCCAGTGACTGAGGTGGATGAGGATACAGCGTCATTTTTTTTTGATACTGGGGATCGAACTTGGGTCCTTGTGGTTGTGAGGCAGGCGGCAGAACCACTGAGCTAAATCCCCAGCCCAACTGTGTCATGTTTTTATGAGCCTTCCTGTCCTTTGGATGGCACTGGGCAGCAGCATTTGCTGTGTTGTTGTTCTTACTTCGTAGAGACACTCACAAAAGAGGACTCCAGAATTGCTCCAGAAAGTGGCAAGAACAATGGGATAAGTGTGTTCAAAGCAAGGGGAGGACTTTGAGGGGGACTAATGCCGATGTCTTTCACTATTACAAATTTTTTAAAAATTTAAATATTCACCTGATATTTTGATCACCTCTTCTATATGATACAGTAAGTCCCTGACTTACAAACATTCAAGTTGTGGATTTTCAGATATGAACGGACCTCACTTGAGGAACGTTTGTAGATGTGAGAAAATCATAGAAATAGCTCACAGGTCTACCTTACCATTTTAAGGTAACTGTAAAAGTAAACATAGTTTATTTATAGTATTTGTGTGTGTGTGGTATTTTTTAATGCTTTACATTGTATATGTATCTGTGTCACAGGTATATAAGACTCACTTTGTTGAACTTATGAATGAATCCAACTTACAAATGTTCTGCCAGAACAAAACTCTTTGATAAGTTGGGGACTTACTATATTTTAGTGATGGAACTGAGGAGAAAAGTCAGGAAAAGGGAAAATGAAAGGGCAGTAGAGGGTGAAGTTTTAGATAATGTAGCCAGAGCAAGCTTCCCCTAGAAGGTAGCCTTTGACTAAAGGCCTGAAGGAAAGGAAAGAGCAGTTGTCAGGGGAGAAGCGGGAAGAGCAAGTGCAAAGGCCCTGTGGTAGAAACATATCTGTGTGCTTGAAGAACAGCAAGGGGGCCAGTGTGGCTGCAGAGGATTGAGAGGGAGAGGCCAGGTAGCAGGCCAGGGTGGAGACCCGAGAGAGTAGAGAGAAGAACTTTCTAGAAAGCAGCTGGGAGCTGTGTGGGACAGCAGTGGGGGTGGACATTCATAGTATGGGCTTTCCCTGAGGGTGCCCGAGTGTACCCATACACCCAGCCCTTGAAGCCTGGACTATGCTCTGACTGTCTCAAGGTGCCACTGTTCTGGATGGGAGCAAACTGGAAGAGCAGGGCTGGCCTAGACTCTGCTTGTCCCTGCTGCTCCCGGTGCTGAGAGATGGTGAGAACCATGAAGAGGAGGGAGAGAGGGAGGGAAGA